GGGTGTCCAGAGACAGAAATCATCTCCACGCTGTTGAAACGAATGTGTGAGAGATGTATATTTATCCTGAGTCCAAGTGCTGTTAATTGTTTGCATATCTGCCCAAGCATCTAATGTAGTCTCACACGTTGGCTTTCTTCAAAACCCGGCCTCGTCCCAGCCTTTGATCACTCCAGGAATAATTAGGTGGTGCAAAATGGCTGAGGTATACTTCTGGTTTCCTTGCTTCAGGCTTGGTTTAGAGAGAGGGACAACAGCTAAAGAAGCCTTAGATGTCATCGTCGCCTTGTTGGAAGAACACGGACAAGGTGGGAATTATTATGAAGATGCAAACTCCTGCCACAGCTTCCAAAGTGCATTTCTGATTGTGGATTGTGAGGAGGCCTGGGTGCTTGAGACCGTGGGGAAGTACTGGGCTGCAGAGAAAATGACAGGTGAGTTGGGGTGGCTGGCGGGGAGTTTCCAGGACAGGAGAGGCTGGGGCGGATGTTGCCTGGACTGTCGGAAACCATGCTGCTCCTGCAACCCCTCTGTGTGCTGCCTCTTCAGGCTCTCACATGCCTCTCATTGCTGGGCTTCTGCTGCTGGAGAGGAACTTGGGGTTTTCTGAGCCTGGAGCCAAGAGCTGTCAGCACTTGGGAAGCGCACTCCTAATATTTCATACTGATTGCTGGCTTTTGGGCAGAATTGGGCAACCAGTTCTTAGTTATAACGATGACATCCCAGAAACTTTTCTCAAACTCACACATGCGCATGCGCGCGCGCGCACACGTACACGCATATTTGCAGGTATGTTCCATTATTTGAAAACAATTCAATTTCCATGTCACTGTTTTGCTAAATGTTGGGACTCAAAAAAATTTGAATGAAGAAGTAAAGTATTTTATTTTATTTTTGATAAAAACCATATATATATTTGAGCAGAGGGTGGCAGTGTAAACTGTTCCTTCAGGTGGAGCAAGACTAAACTGGAGAGGAGGGCGTGTCTATAGCTGTGACATTCGTACGTCTTGTTAGTAGCACAGTGCCTCTTTCAAAGAACCTTTCACTTTTCTTGTAAGTGGTAACTGCTTGGGTTTTATTTGGCCAGATAAATGACTGCTGCTCATTTAAAATGTGATGATGGCTGGTCAGGACTGGTCATACCTTCTGGGAGATCTTAAAAGAGGGCCAAGGATCGTCTGTTTCTCTCTTCAAAAATGGAATCTTCTTCCTCTAGTTAAGGGCAAGTTGCAGGGGAGAGATGTGCTGTAAATTTCCATTTCTTGATTAAGTCTTTATGCATCTATTTCTAAGTAACTGGGCTTTGCACTCTCTACAGAGGGAGTAAAGTGCATTTGCAATCAGCTTTCTCTCACGACTAAGATCGACGCAGAGCATCCTGAACTCAGGAGTTACGCGCAGAGTCAAGGTTGGTGGACAGGAGAGGACGAGTTCAATTTTTCTGAAGTTTTTTCTCCAGCTGATGGCCATCTAGCCTGCTGTTCAGGCAAAGACAGCTTAGAAAAGCAAGAAGGTGAGTTAGTGTAGCCCTTACAATTCTCCCTCACATATCCTTTGTCTTGCAGCAATTTCAGAGACCTTGTTTGAACTTAGAGTGAGCAAGAGAAGGAATAGAGAATAGACCTTGTATATAGAGACCAATTTGTGCTACAGCCCCTGACGTGCGGGCAGGACGGCAATTTGCATTTATTTTTACATGATGCTTCCTCATCCAGGGACATTTCCTGCTTCTGTTTCTCCTTTAAACACTGATGTTGTCTTTGTGATACTTACTGCAGCATTGCTTATACCTCAGCATTTGTGTATTTGCCTTAGCCTCTCCCTGTATTTTCCTCTCCCATTAGCCTGCTGGGTCTTGACGGCAGAGGTGTTGTCTTTTCCTCATCTTAGGATCACCTTGTGACACCTGTTATGGGTCTTTGTTCCATGAACATTTGTTGAGTGGAATTGTTGAATTGAATTCCCTTCGCAAGCCCTCTGCCTTCCACCCAGCATTGACTTAATCATAATCAATTTATAGGTAAATGCGGTGACTGGATAGCTTGTTTCTCTTGTGCCTGAGTGGAAAACCCCTCCACATAAGCCACAATGACCACATTTTACATTTGCTAGTGATACATGTGTTCGGTCATTTCAAATAGAGATTGGCAAGCTGTGACCTGTTCGCAGGGCCTGTTTTGTAAACGCAATTTGATCAGCACACAGCCACACTCATTTATTTAGCTGTTATATTATGGCTGCTTCCATGCTACATGGCAGAGTTGAGCAGTTTCAACAGGTAAGCTGTGGCAGAGGTTACATGGCCCATAAGCCTAAAATAGTTCCTGTTTCTTTAAGAAAAAGTTTGCTGACCTTTTCCTGAAGAACACTTCAGAGCTTTTGCTGTAGAACTCAATTAAAATATTCTGGGTAGGAAGGTAGGAAAGTATCCATTTTAAAATGGAATTTTAAAACTAACTCTAAAAATTTTTAATTAAAAAAACCCTAGCTTGATAAAAATACAGAGTAACAGTTGTGAAGTAGTTCTGCCAAAATGTCAAGCCTAAATCTGGTGAAGCCTCTGGATCTATCTGCTCATTTACTGGAACTACAGAGGATGGAGTCACATACCAAATAACACCATCTGCAAAGTCCATCTTGCAAAGTCCAGACTGTGGGGAAGACTTCAGGAGAAATGGCTCAACGAATAAAATGCAAAGGGGAAAAATAAGAGGCAGAGAGTAAAGGAGATTTAAGAGACATTATCAACCTGTTGAATGCTGTTTTAAATCAATAAACTCATTTATGGGACAGTGAGGAAATTTGAACTCTGGATAGTTGAAGAACTTAGGGACTTACTGTCAGTATTTTTAGGTGTGATGTGTTATTAACAGAGATTTACAAAGAGGATGTAAGTTGTGCTAGTCAAGTTTAAGGCACCTTTTTCTTATGTGGTGCTTTGATTTGGTCTTTGTGAGCACAGACTGAAAGAACTGTGTTCAATAAAATTATAAACAGAGGGAGAAAATGTAGGACTGGAATCCTGTGTAGTCAAAGACTTGTTAATCTGCTTATCTGAAGTCAGAGACAATAGTCCTAATGGCTCTAAATATTCTAGATACTTCTCTGTGTATGTTCCCCACTGCAGAGAGGTCATTCTCCAAATGCAATACTGACTAACCAGCAAGATCGTACCAGAGAGCTTGCCTGGTGGACTGCATAGATTGCACATACTTTTTTATGAATATCATTCTATTGCATGCTGTGCTAGTTGAGGAATTGCTAAGTGCCGTAACAAAGAGACCCCCAAATAATGTGGGTTAAATTGATTTCTCTCCCATGTTATAGTCCAGATGTAGATGGACAGTCTGGGGTGGGGGGTGGGTTGCTCTGCCTCAATCTGTGTCTTCCTCTTGTGGTCCACTTACTGGCATCTCCCAGCCAGCTGGAAGGGAGGGAAAAATGTGAAGGTCAAGCATTCCTCTTTACGGACGTGATGGGCAGGTTGCTCACATCATTTCTTCTCATCTCCCATTGGTCAGGAGCTATCACATGGCCACACCCAGCTACAAGGGAAGCTGGGAAATACAGTTGTAGTTGGGCAGTTCTGTTCCCAGCTGTAATATCAGGGTTTCTATTACCCAAAAGGGAAGGGCTGATGGATTTTGGTTAGCAGCTTGCCTCCCCTCTCTCTTTTTTTTTTTACAGAAATCATCACTGTGCAGACTATGATTGACATCTTGCGGGACAAAGCCAGCGGGATCTGTGTTGACTCCGAGTCTTTCCTGACCACGGCCAGCATAGTGTCTGTCCTGCCTCAGAACAGAAGCTCGCCATGCATTCACTACTTCACGGGGACCCCAGATCCTTCCAGGTTTGTCTGAGACACAGTCATGCAGGTGGCAAGTGTGTGCTTCCCTTGAAAGCTCTGCTAGTAATCACACACTGAGGTCCTGTACCTCCCCTGTATAGCTGAGTCGAATGTTTCAGTCATTTTCATGGTGGCCAGTGCAACACAAAGAGCTTTGATTAAGGGACGTTCTTGGCTTTAGTCACAAAGTGTTCATCACAGTCATGGACTCAGATTGCTTTAAATTCAACAAACATTTATTAGTATATATTGTGGGCCAGGCATTGTGCTGTCTGTGAGGGATGTAAAGATAAGTAAGACCCAGTGAGACAGAGAGATACAGGAGTGCCCAAGACGGATCAGAACAACCAGTTCCCATGAGTTAGAGGACAGAATGGTCCAAGGGCAATGCAGATTGAAGCAGCTTCAAATGCACTAGCCTTCTTCTTTAAAACACTGTGTTTTAGAGAGTTGCTTTCTGCCCACATTCTTCAGCAGAGAGGTTTTACCGCACAGCACTTAAGAACACAGCCTCTAGAATGAACTACCAGGATTTTGAATTCCGCCTCTGTCACTTCATAGCTGGTGAGTTCCTTAACCTCTCAAAGCTTCAGTGTCTGAACTATGGACAGAATACCAGCCCCTACTTTTATGTGCTTTGGGGGAGGATTAAATGAGATAATGCAAGTAAATGCATAGTAGGTTTACTTATTATTTATTAAGACGATCTCTGATCCAGCGGGCAGACAGCAGCCCTTCTCCTGGGTAACGTTCAGTCAGGCACATTGCAGATCACATCGTCGGTGGCGTAGACACAATCATCCAGTGATTTCTAAATCTGTTCGCTATCAGTATCACTTGGGGGAATTTTTGAAAAATACAAATGTTGTGACCCAAACCTATTGTATCGGAGTCTTTAAGGTGGGCTTAGGAGTTTGTCAGGTAAGTCTGGTCCTCAGCCTGGAAAGCTCTAGAAGACTGCTCATTCCAGGAGGGCTCTAGTATTTTTCTAGTCTTCCACTGGCTGGGAACCATCATCATTGTTTGAGTCAAACATTGTTAAGTGAGTGTCAAACCTTGGACTCTGCTACTAGGGAATCTGTAGCTGGTTGATTTCATTAGCTTTCCAGCCAAAAATATTTATTCTCCTCTTATTCAGGAATACAAGACAGTGATGGTGCCCAGCTAGGGACCATGTCTTAGATGACTCAAGGGAGAAGCCAAGTACCTTTCCTGACAATCTGGCCTCACTATTGCCAATATCAATACTAGCAGGACTATTATATTTGACATAAGCTATTCTTAGTTTTCATTCACTCATTTATTCATTCAACAAACGCTCATTAGGCACCTGTCATGTACCAAATATTATGCTTGTAGGGTACTAGAGACAAAGTGTGTACAAGATAAGAGGAGGCGTGAAGAAGCTAATAAAGGGGGAACTTCAGAGAGGAAGAACTCTTGAACACTGGGTGTTGTGGGAAGAGGGGTTTGTTAGGTGCTAAAAGCAGGAATGACATTCTGGGTCGAGGGAACAGCATGTGCAAAGGCAGAGCAGCATGAAACAGCATAGGATGGCACAGAGTTGCAGCTATGCATCTTCTTGTAATGCAAGTTTCCATTCCTCCTCCAGCTCCCCCCAACCCCACCCCAGTACACACATCCCAGTACACAAGCCCAGTGTGCTACTTCTCTTGATGAGCCTTAACCGCTCAGCACTAATCTAGACAACCTTTCATGACATGCCTCTTGTTTGACTCCAGCTGCTTTCTCTTGATTTTATCCCCCTGTTCTTGGTTCCATGGTCCCCTCGCACCCCCTTTTTGGCCCATCAGATTAGGGGCTTGTCATTCCTCTCCCTGGTGTCTGCACTCTGTGGGCTCTGACCTCACCTGCTGGTGGCACAGCAGCCTCTTGTGAGCCCTCTCTGCTGGCCCACAGGGTGCATGCACGTGGGCATTTAGAGCCCATCTGGACAGCTCCGCCAAGGTATCTGGACATTGTT